ACTAGGTGGACCGACGATCTGGTGAAGGTCGCGGGAGGCGCCTGGATGCGAGCGGCGCAGGACCGGTCTTTGTGGAAATCCTTGGGGGAGGCCTTTGTGCAGCAGTGGACGTCTTTCAGCTGAAACGAACAAACGAACCGCTTATCGCGGCGCGCTTCATAGGTCTACCGGTAGCTCGCTCACCGTCTCTCACTGGATCCTTGAGTTGCACGAGCGCGACGGTATTCAGAGTCTGTCCGTTCTCGTACTCGGGGTGGAGAACGTAATTGCTCACGCACGCGGCGCTTCACCCGCTCTTATTATAAAAGCGCTTGCAGCCCAGCCGGGCTAGCAACCGCATAAGACAAAAATCTATTCTATTCTATAAAATGGCATGATAACCGCTTATCCAGGCAGTCCTCCCACTAGGTGGACCGACGATCTGGTGAAGGTCGCGGGAGGCGCCTGGTTGCGAGCGGCGCAGGACCGGTCTTTGTGGAAATCCTTGGGGGAGGCCTTTGTCCAGCAGTGGACGTCTTTCGGCTGAAACGAACGAACGAACGAACCGCTTATTGCGGCGCGCTTCATAAGTCTACCGGTAGCTCGCTCACCGTCTCTCACTGGATCCTTGAGTTGCACGAGCGCGACGGTGTTCAGCGTCTGCCCGTCTTCATACTCGGGGTGCAACACATAGTTGCTCACGCGGCGCCCCACTCGCTCCCAACCCTCGCCGAGCAACACGCGAGTACTTGACCTAAGGGTTGTATTACAAGATTTTAAACTTCCCCTATGTTGTGTTTCTCTTGCTACTGGTTCCATTACAACGGGACTATTCCCATCGCACCTCTCGTTCCCACCGCTGCAACTCCTGTGTAAATCTATGTATACAGCTTGAACGCCAATAAAAACCCAACCAGAGCCCCGATTACGGTAACTTTTAACGTCTACAATCCAGACGCGCTTCATCATTACGCTGTTTTGATCATTACGCTGACCAATCGTATCGCAGAATCGATGAAACGCGTCTGGACTGGAAACGTTAAAAATTACCGTAATCGGGGCTCAGTGAAGGTCAAGTTTGTCCCGGGGGAAAGTTAAACTGTCATTGGAGTTCGAAGTTAAGGTTCGACTTCCCATTCGCGTTCCATTACAGTTAAAGTAGAGAACTATGGGTCCGAACGCGACATTTTTTCATTAAGACCATGAGAACCGGAATCCTTGGGAGAGGCCTTTGTCCAGTTTTTACTGAAACGCACAATTATCTAACTTATCTACAGCTTGACGTGTCGGCTATGGCTACAACCAATAAATTCTGATACAGGGCCCGATTAAAGCTTCAACCACACCAACGCGTGCAGATCGCCATCGCCGGCGCTATGAAAGGCCAATGACAGGTCGCGCGACCTATGACAGTTCACGCGATCTGTCATTGGCCTGTGATCGCGCCAGCGATGGTGATCTGCACGAGTTGGTGTGGTTGAAGCATAAGGCCACCACTGATGGCCTTCTTACTAACCTGAAGTCGTGTTTGGGCATACGGCCGATGTCGGAAGATGGCGCTATCACGAACTCCCGGTGCACTAGAGCCACCGTGGTCACTGCGCGTACGTCACCGCGCGCGAACGTTACTAGAACCACAGAACCCAGAAATACATTCGCGGGTAGTCAAACAAAAAGGATTGATTCCACTGCTCAGGAATTTAAGTAATACAGGAATAAAAATTCTATAAAAAACCGACACTTTTCCGCTCGATCCATTTCCACCGAAGCGGAGCGGAGCAGAGGGGAGGAAGGCAAATAATGGAATCTGATTGGTTATTCACAAAACTTCTCTGCTCCATTCCGCACAGTGTGTTATGGGACTGTATAAACGGACATTCTCATTGATTTGATGAAACGTATAGAGCTCAGTTATACAAACATGATAGTAAAACTCCCGTTTGAAAATTCCACGTAGTTTTCGCGGTATAAACATTCAAAGTTACCTATTTTTTTACTTCAAAATTATGCAAAAATATTCTCACTCGTTAACTAATAACATTTAATTCAGAATTGTTATAATACTTCATAGAGTTCTTAAAACTACACGTAATAAGCGTGTTAAGTGCTTCGTAAACGCATTCAGTTAATTAGGAAAAATGATTTTAGTGATTTTTGTTTTTATTTTTTTTCTCAATTATACCTTAATATATGCAAACATTTTTAAATGCAAGATATAGTCTGATATTTAATCTAATTGTATTAATAAAATCAGCTTTAATTAATTAATTTTCAAACGGGAGTTTTACTATCATGTTTGTATAACTGAGCTCTATACGGTTCATCAAATAAATGAGAATGTCCGATTATACAGTCTCATAACATACTGTGCTCCGCCTTACCTAGTGGAAACCGAGCATCATATGTGCCAATTTTGTGTAAAACTTACACATAGCTCAACGGATTAGCAAGTTGAAGTGGCAATGAGCAGGGCACATAACACGCAGAACTGACGGCCGACGGGGCAGCGAGGTTCTGGAGTGGAGGTCACCTACTGGAAAACTCAGCGTAGGACGTCCACCTACAAGGTGGACCGACGACCTCAAAAAGGTAGCAGGAAGGCGCTGGATGCAGGCCGCTACCAACCGGCCTTTGGGAAATCATTGGGGGAGGCCTATGTTCAGCAGTGGACGTCTTGGCTGAAATAATTATGATGATGTTAATGAGTATAAATTTTAACTCACAGCTTGCGTAAAAAAGCACTCCAAGCCAGGGGTATTTCTCGATGGGGACTTGTCCCACCATGACGTCGGGCTCGTCGTCGACGCCGCAGTTCAACGGGTCGATCTCCACCCCGATCAGAATCGGGACTGAAGCGGGAAAATATTCAAAATTATTAACTGCCACCTAAGTTCATCAAAAATGATGTATGATTCTATAGATCATTTCATCTATGAAGACGCGCCCCACCATTATTTGGTCGAGGGTAGCGCGGGGTGTGGGGAGTTTGATCCGAGTGCGTGTGCACCTGTGTGCACTCATGGATAAATTTAGCGTGTAGGTACTTTAATTAATAATTTAATAGTGTAATTTAATATTCGTGGATGAAACGATCTACCCACATACATAATGGTGAAATATTTTTTCAAATCGGTCCAGTACCTAGTTCCGGAGCCTATTCAATACAAATAAACAAATCTTTCCTCTATAAAAACAAGTATCAAATACTTTGAAAGATGCAACGGGGCGTCTTAGCTAGCTCAGTCCGACACCCCGCTGTTTAGTACTAAGTCCCAGTTCGCCTTCTGCGATGAGGGATGTGTACCTATCCAGGATGCCTACAGGGATATTGACCAAGGAAACGCACAATCAACAACACAATGACACTTTGTATTTCTAGTTCCACAATAGTTCCTTATTCTAACTTCACTGACTCTAAATTACTATCGTTTAATAATGAGCAAGTTTACAAGTACTTTACAAGTTATATCACAATTTACTAATCTATTACAACGAGAGGAATAGCGACGCGCCCGGTTCGCGTCCCGTTAACTAGCTTTCGTATCCGCGAGAGGGGCGGCGCCCTGTGCGAGGTTTAGCGAGTGTTAGTTTGGACACTTATAACTAGGGGGGTAGGACGTGGTTCAATAGCTCGAGCCAGAGACCAAAGTCCTGTGATGAGTATGATACCACTGGGAAAGGGCGTCGGACCTACGTGGCGAGGGGGTATGAAGTTCAGGAGGGGTGGCAGCAGGATTGCTACCGCAGGTCGGGAATGAGCATCGCATGCACTACTCGGTAAGGACGAGAACCGGTAGGCTATCAACGATAGAACGTCTCGAATCGACAATTAGATCACCGACCGAGTTATCGAGGTATCGAATCAAGCCAGAGTCGAACAGTCAAGGTTAGTGGGAACAATGTGGATAGCTATTCGCTAGGGACTCTGTGCAATGCAGCCGAGGGAACAATAGACGCGGGCGCGAACGTCTGGCTGTTGCAATGGCTCCCGAGCGAATGCTTGGCGCCCTTTTTTTTTTTTTTGAAGGGACGCGCGCTGGTAGCTTGAGGAGCTTTTCCAGCTTCACCGGGCAGAGTGGCGAGTACAGAAGGTACTCTAGCCGTTTGGCGATCGTCGGTACGCGTTCCGACGAGGCCGAGCGTGGGCTTCGCGAAGCGAAGCCCAGGCTCGTCCACGTCGGTCGCAGACCGACGTTCGCGATCGGGCCGTATCGAGCGCATAAGGCGCCCGATCAGTGGCGAACCCAATTAGAGGGTTGCCCACCGCGGTGTTGGACCAAAGTCCAGCCTAGGGGACTACGGACGCGGCCTGAGGGCGCCACGGTAGGCTCGGACCTCGGCTCAGACCGTGTCCGGGGGACGGATAGGGGGCTTGGCGCCCGCGGTCGCCGCCGTCTCTTATGGTACGTTTACACGCTTGCCAAGCCTTCGCAAGCGGCAAACAGCTCCAAGCCTCCACAAATCTCGTTTGGCGTTTGAAAGGAGTTTACACGCTTGGGAACGCGTCAGTCTGCAAGATAGATCCAAGCATGGCGGACACCGAACTTGTAACGGCTATTGCATTTGGTTTATCGTACTTTTATTTNTGGGGCAGAAAAGTTCTCGACTGGCGATCACGAGCCGGAAGACGTAGTGTGGGCAGGCCTTCCACTAGGTGGACCGACGATCTGGTGAAGGCCAAGTGTGAAGGCTGGGTTGCACCATCTTCCTTTAACTTTAACAAACGTCAAAAATCAAACTATACAAAACACACCGGTCGTTATAATTACTGTAGTTAGGTTGTGCAACTCAGCCTTAGGTACTTAAGATTTTGACGAGACATAGGTCCGAGGTCCTATCTATCTCAGGTAGAAACCGACCGCCTAGAAAAAAACCACGTAACAAAATAAAACCTTTCATTGCATAAAGTAAATGATAAGGTAAATCGGGAACTCTATGTGTGTTATAGAATGCTGTTTGTTTTCCTAACTTTATGGCTATGCAACAAGTAGGGAAATTATTTCAAAAATTAAAAGTCTCACTGTCATCAAAATATAGTTTATTATTAGTAAAATTAAACGTCAAAAGACCTTAACCTAGACAAGGGAATGTATCACCCATTGTAGTCCTTATTACTAAACTGTAGAGATCAATTTCACTATACTCAACCGCCACGCATGCCAGTCACTTTTCTGTACGCACTGAAATGTTCGAGGTACTGGTATATGGTGTCAATGGGGGTGTATATTTCGTTCATTCGGCTCAGCAGGTGCTGGGGCGGCTGGATGGTGACCGTGGGGCCTAAGAGGCCTTGGAGAAACTCCCGGAGCAGACCCCACACGGCGTTGGCCATTACACATGGACGATACTCCACCTGCAGGGTAAAGAAAACAGATTTTTTTAATTTACAACTTAATAAAGTATTGTTTTGGTCAAACAAGGCCTTGTTAGGTACAGGTGAAAAATAAGATCTCAGAAAAGCATCAGAATAAATTATAAAGTGTTAACGCTTACAATTTATTATAACTACATACTATTAGACTTACTTGGTGTAAATTTTCTGGGACAGACCACAGTATACCTCAGGTGATACACAATTTTTCTATTTACAAAATGAAATCAAGATTAAATAGTCAAATTAATTTGTTTCCTCACAGGGTTCATCATAGAAGCATGTTTTATAATTAGAGGAAAAAATCATTATTTTCAAGCGTGAATATTAGCTTGCTCATTCTAGCAAATAATACGAACCTCAATGAGTATTCCTTTAAAACTTTGGTTCATAGTCACAGAGCCCAATTTCACGCAGAAATCACCAAGCTCGAACCTGGGGCCTTTGCTTTCGATCTTGGTCTGTTTCTTCGATGTGTAATGCTGTGAGAGCTTCATCATGAGAAGATCGAATAGCCCATCGGCTATCACGTGAATGTTCTTCGTACCGCTCTCAAGGATAGAGAACACGGATGCAGGTTGCTCCGAATTGTGGAGAATGTGCACAGTCTTTGTTGTTCCTGAGGATGCAAGCAAAATTTTGAATTAAAATAAAAAGATAAAAACAAGAAAACTTCACAAATGCAGTCGGAGGCATCAATGACTAATTCTTTTATTAGTGATATGTACCTATTTGATGCCTCCGAAATTTTACGAAACTCCTCCCCAAAGGCCGGCGCCATACTTGACGCTTTCTGCTACACGTATTTTTGTGTAAGTGTATAATGACTCACCCATCTGAGGATGAGAAAGATAACTTTCACAGTCCACCAAGAACTGGCCTTGCTGAGTCGCGCCTAGTGCCAAAATCCGCTTCGTGAGCAGCTCAATCACGTAAGTTCCATTCTTATTTTCCGGCACAGGATACTGTTGTAAACTGCAAAAAAATATAAATATCAGTAACCGTGTCTTACATAGGGTATATGAGACAAGCGTTGGTTTAAAACTTACACTGTAACCCCCATGTTAATGCAAAAAAAACTTTGGTAGAGGTTAGACTTGAGAATTAAGTTTTTTGTACTATTTCACACATAAATCTTCAGGTTTTTTGGCTGGAATTCAAATATTGTAGATTGGCGGTAGAATTATAGAATGACTTGGAAAATTAAAGTGTTATTAATGTTCAAAAATGGGGTAAAAATTAATAACAAAACAATTTAAACACCACCGCTTCTTTGATATTTCCGNGATACAATGCTTTTTTTTTTTAAGAATCTTAGACGTTTCCGAAATTTCCGATTCCGTCCAAAATTGTTTTTTCAAAGAACTATAAAAATCGAAAGTTAATGTATTTTTGAAAATCCGATGTATTAAATTAAGCATTTATTTTCAGAATTTTATTATAAAAACATGTAAGTAATCATAAAAGATAAATAGTATGATTTTAACACAATCATTGCAACCTTCAACGCCATTGGCCCTTGTATGACATAACCGTAAGTCAGCCAATAGAACGAAATCGTTTGAAAAACATTGGTAAATCAGCTAATCAACGATAAAGGACTCTGTAAATGATAACAAAAATATGACGTCATTAATCATCGTTGGACCAATGAAAAATCGACAAATAATATTTTCAATGGCAAATTGACAAGTGCTGGGGCTCCCTATTTTACGGAGTATTTATTTACTTAGTAAAAGCATTTTAATTTGTTCAGTATTCTTCCGGCAATGAGACTGATTACATAAAAAAGTTTGCGAAGTGGTTGCATCAGCCAAGTGTTTAGTTTTGTGTGTATTTTTTCGTTTCGTTTTATCTTTTTGGTGTATTTATTTAGAGGTGTGATTCACTGGTCTAATCACGAGTGTTTCTTTGGCGACTATTGAATGATTTCAAAATGATACCGGATAACGTGACGCTGATTGTGAAGGCTCCTAATCAGCAAGTGGAGGATCAAAACGTCGAGTGCCAGTCGTCGTGGACGGTGCGACAACTGAAAGGGCATCTTTCAGAGGTGTACCCTAGCAAACCGGTAAGTGGCAGTAAAATAGTGCGTAGTTATGTTCCAGCACACCATAGCTATCCTCTGGACACAAGAAAATCATGCAGTACCAATAATATACCTTTGTGTAGGAATGGAATGATAAAAATCGTAGTCAAAATACTCCCATGAATGTAACTTAGTAGTGTGTTTTTTTTCCACCTAAGCCTAAGTAATTCTGCAGAAACNCTTATTTAATTTAATGTAAAAAATAAGAGTTGTGTTGTGCTTACATCACAAGCCACCTAGTCAGGAGATTTATCATTAGCTTAATTTGTAATCCAATTTCAATTATGTAATTAACTGAAACCTCCTTAGAAAATATCTAAGGAGGTTTCAGTTAATTACATTTTTTTTCAATTACAAGCATTAAGTACATTTTCAAATCTAATTAATTATTATGTGTCTATCATCTTTTTACCTTATTTTATTTATGTACCCTATCATTTAACTATTCAAATAATAATAATCAAGTATATTAATTATTATCTTAGGTATATTCTTGTTGCCCTATAAACAGACAAACTCTATCAATTGAAATATTTTCTGAAGAATTCCGAAGCAAAATACCTACCACATACTTTGACAGACGTATTTTTGTTCAGAAATGCTAGTTATCGCATACCTAGTTAGTTTGTGTGCGATTGATAAGAGTTTTTAACGACATGCACCAATCAAAACACTGAAATTACAATTAACAACTGCTGATGTGAACATTCTTGAATTAGCTTTGGTAGAATTTACATGGTTTTATAATAAAACAATTTGTAAGTTTTAGATAACTTTGAGGCTTATGTAGGTATCAGCCTATCTAGAGAACTAGTGGTGGTTTGAAGTTGACTTACTGATGGCACTTTAACTAAACAATTAACTGAATTGTCAATGTGATAATGATAATAATATCTTTCTTTCATAATTTCCCAGTCATTTCTTTACTTACTTTTCTTATCAATCAGTTATTCATTATCTTATGATCTTATCAAAAAAAAACCTTTCTTACAAATAAATTGTTATCTTTTTGGTAAAGTATACTCAAAACTATTTTCAGAGGACAGAGGAACAGAAAATCATATACTCTGGACAGTTATTAGATGACAACATAATACTGAAAGATGTTCTGAGGACATACGAAAGTCAGATTGCACATACTATGCACTTGGTCTGCACTCCGACAAGGAAGATGCCTGAGCCTACACCAACCGAGGTCCCCAGCACAGACGGACTGAGACAACGTAACGTTACCACAACGGTAACAGCCACAGCAACACCGGCAGAGCCTACAAGGCCGGAGATGAGGCAGAACGACCAGAATCATAATGTAGAAATGCAAAACTATTTGACGTCGTTTGCCAACAACTATGGAAGGGTGCCTCCATATCCGAATTACAATTTTCGAGAAGGTTACCTACCAGTGCCGAATGACCCAGCACTTATGGCCAACCATATTATGATGATGCAGCAAGCGTACCTGCAATATATGCAACAGTATGCTAACATGTATGTATTACTTATCTAAGATAGATAAAGCATCATAGCTCCTTATTTCCTTCCTTCATTCAATATACCTACCTATTCTATCTATTGTATTGCGATAGCATGTATACTTGCCCCTTTTTTACCTTGAAGTTCCAAAGTTCAAGTTGAATGTTTTATACTCATTATTTTCTTGTTGGGAGTTAAATTTTCTTTTTAAATGTACATAATCAAGGTACATTAACTTTGCATTGTGGCACCTGTGTTTAAATAATTAGCCATATCAATTTGCATGTATATTCGCACTGTTTAATCAGCTTCTTAAGGAAGGTCACAATAGTAAAGATATCAATTTTGTTTGGTTTGGATTACAAACTCAAATTACTCAAATTCTTTTACAATGCGAATAAAATTTCGAACTTGCTTTCAAATGACGCAAATAGCGAATTTGATCTAATAGGAAGAAGACAACCACAGTATACCTATAGGGAACCAATTTAGAAAACTGAAAAGACCGAATTAAAAAGATCGTCGAACTTAGTATTGACCGTAGGAAGTACGGTAAATTCGATTTACCGCTTCACTGCGCCACCGCAGTCAATGAGGAAGTGCCGCGCTATTAGATCAAATGTATGGAAGAGAGCTTGCTTAAATTATGCTGATCTCTCTAATGGCTCAATTTCATTGGTTATCCTTTGTCCTGCCCCGCATTTGTGGCGTGGAAAATCTGAAATTTCTGTTCCGCATATTATAGGTACCACCCGCGACCTTCACCAGATCGTCGGTCCACCTAGTGGGAGGCCTGCCCACGCTACGTTTTCCAGCTCGGCTGGGGCAAGTACTTTCCTGCCCTGCTATGTGCCCCGCCCACTGCTACTGCGACGATCTGGTGAAGGTCGCGGGAGGGGCCTGAATGCGACCGGCGCAGGACCGGTCTTTGTGGAAATCCTTGGGGGAGGCCTGTGTCCAGCAGTGGATGTCTTTCGGCTGAAACGAACAGCTACGCCGACCGCTGATTTCCATTGGTCAATCATCATCATCATCATAATTTCAGCCAAGAGATTATTCAGACACATCCTCCTCCTTTCCTTTTTGGTGAAAACCGGCATTCGTGGACTCTTCAGTCAGTCTTGAGCTTCGCGTTTGATCTCGCTCCAGGTCTCGCAGATTCGTGGAGGGATATGATTTTTTTTAAAGATTATTAGCAATTTGTATTGCACAAATTACTAATAGTCCCGTTAGCCTCTCGTGTTAAGCTAAATAAGCTTGTGTTACGAGTTGGCTCACCACAATAGTCGAGCGGCGGTGGGATTCGGACCCGCGTTCCTCGGATCTCGAGTCGGCCAGTCCGACGACTTCACCGTTGGGCTATCGTGGCTATAAATAAAGGCCTATTCAAACCTGAGCGATATTCGCTGCCGCTGTGGGTAGAGGTACATACCGCGCGGGTTTCGCTTAGGTATTNCAGGTATTTAGTATCAAGTATCGCGGCTAAAGCGACCTGAGCGATATTCGCTGCCGCTGTGGGTAGAGGTACATACCACGCGGGTTTCGCTCAGGTATTTAGTATCAATTACCGCGGCTAGAGCGTTTTCTCTGCCGCAGACGGTAGCGAATACCGCTTAGGTCTGAACAGTATTATTACCGCATACCCACTGGGTTTTCTCTGCCGCAGACGGTAGCGAATACCGCTTAGGTCTGAATAGGCCTTTAATTTGGTCGTAAATCGCTTGCAGGTGGCAAGCCACGGCAACGGCGCCGGCCGCGCCCGCGCCGCCGGCGGAGGCGCCTCCACAGGTGCCCCCGCCGGCGCCTCCCGCCGACGAAGAAGATGGAATGGGCCACGATTGGCTGGATCACATGTACGCGGCCTCGCGCTTGGGAATACTGTTCTCGCTGGTGTATCTGTACGGCAGCCCGGCCAGGTTGCTGCTAGTCGTGTTGCTGGCTATGGCTGGTTACCTGTGAGTAGCTTTACATGTATACTTAATATTATAAAGCTGAAGTTTCTTTTTTGTTGAACGCGCTTTTTGTGTTAGATAGCCCATTTATCGAGGAAGACTAGGCTATAGCGGCAAATAGGAGAGGAGCATTAAAGAGAAATGTTGCAAAAACGGGAAATATTATTCAACTATTTTCACGCGTACGAATTCGCGGGCACAGCTAGTTATTTAAACTTTTATGACTGAGACTTGCCTTTTGCATGAATGTTTATACTCTTGAGAGCTCATTAGCACACTCACTCGGAAGATACTCGCATGAGGCCGATTGTTTTGGTTGGTTATTATTATAATTTAGTAATGGAATTAGCTACAGTCCAGTACCGACAGACAAACAATATTTTTAACCCTATCTATTAATATACCTACTTAAATGCATCGTATTGTATTTGTTGTGTACAAATACATAATGCAGGTGGCATATTACGAATTTTCATTGAATGCAAATCACATGTATTCTCTTATTGTTTTTTCTACCGAACCAGCTGCATATTAATCACTGTTTTACTACAGCGTTTATTACAGACACCACGTGGGCTTCTTCCGCGAGCTCCATCTCCAACCGCCCAACGAAGGGAACCGTCGCAACGAGGAAGCCAACGCCCCGGAGAGGCCCCAGAACCCCAACGCCCCGCCGCCCGCCGGCGACGACGCCCCGCCGGCGCCCGACGCCCCGCCGCCTCCCACAAACAACGACAACCAGTCCCTACTAGCGGTAACGTGGATGATAGTCACCTCATTCTTTGCGTCGCTCATACCAGACGCTAACTAATGTGATATTTACGATAACTCAATATTTAGATTGATACAAAGTCGAGCATGGGACCGCCGATACGATTTTGAGATCGTCAAGGCTATATTTAGTGACGATAACAACCTATTTGAGGTCACTATTCGTTTTCGGCAGTGTAGACTAAACGAGGATAACGCTAAAATCGTGACTATTATAACAAGATAGTAGTGTACTAAAATTTTCTAGTAAATTATAAAAAGATCTAGGTACTCCAAATGAACTCTTAAGTGTTTTAAACCATTTACAATTAAAATTACAATATATTTTAGTGAGATACTCCAGATATAGTATATTTAATTTAAATGTTCAAATTTTTACATTAGCAAAAATATGGATGTATTTTAACATTAAGGTCGCATAATCAATTGGTAAATAATTATATTTGTTGACCTACATCTAGTTCTTATCTGGCTATGACTGTATAAAATATGGTAAATCCGACCACATTAGTGAAAAATGGTTTAATTAAACCTAAAAGAATTTTTACTACTTTCTTGCCTATAATATGTTAACTATGTAAGAGCAGCCGAGTACAGATTAACTAGCAAAATCGGCGCATTTCGTGCCATGTGGTTGCTTACTAGTGTGTTTGAGTAAAATTCCCCATCTCTCATGTACAAAATACCTACGGCTACCTAGTTACTTGAAAATGGAGTCGCAAAGTTTGATATTAATAATGCAATTAATTCATTAATATCAAAGGTGAATGTTTGTTTCAAACTAGAAAATAGAATGCGGATGTTATTTTTATTTTGCTATGATTGGTTTAGAAATAAAATTGTGTGTCTTATGAGCATAGAAAATTTTGCTCTTGCAATAACTTGTTTAAAAACCTCACACACCAATATGAAGTACATATACATAAGTTTGGTGAAATTTTATAAAAATTTAAGTGTTTTATTACTTTGTTTTTCCTAGTAAGTATTATGTTTTTGTGTAGAATATTACCCGGCTATTGTAACACATTATGCTCCTGGTTATCCAATAAGGCTTTCAAGTTTCATGTGATGCTACATTGTAGGGAACAACGACGTTATAATTATAATGTCATCTACATTATGATGTTTTTGCTTCACAATTAATTCCTATGAGAAACCAGGAGCTAGTGTTGTAGTTATAAAAATTGTGGTGTTAGCATCTTATAGTGGTTGATTTTTGTCACGATATTTTAAAATTTAACCAGTTGAGATAGGGTTTAAAACAATTGAAAGATAATGTTGTTTATAATGGTTAAAGGGTTTAACAATCTGTATGTTTATTGAAAATTGTAAATATAAAAACATGGTGGAATAAGTCCGGTCAGTTTAGTTGACTAAACGAGGGAGAAATTGATTTTAATGGAACCTAAAATAGCCTTTCTTCATACCAGTTGGTTTCTCAAGTTATTTTTATAATTTGAATATTATGGGTAGCTCAGATTCCAAACGATGCTAAAAGCTGGGCAGGCTACGAATTCTGGCTATTTATACAAAGCCTTTGGCATTGATTTGTTTTAAAATTTTCGTTGTACTGACGTAAAACCAAAAACTAATTGTACATATTTATTCTTTATAGTTTTAGGATTTAAAATAATAAATTAGTGCTATTCTATGTGGCTATGTAAAATGCTATCAGTGTGATCATTATATTATAATTATGATCATTTAGTTAAAGTAATTGATAAATATGAAGTTTTTGAACGGCTCTTACGAATTAACTAACTAGTTCCGAATCACAGTGATCAAATGTTGCCTTTTCTTAAATTAATAAGAATTTGAGTTGTCACTATGGCTCAAGGCTACACCAATAAATAAAAAAGAAGTCAATGAAAAATTGAATAATTTTTCTTATCACCGGGCAAACTAAACTCCACCGTCCACGGTCTCTTTAAACACTCGACATTGGCGAAACCAGTGTGCTTCAAATACGCATCATTTAAGCCATTAATAAAGGATAGAAATAAATTGATACAGTCCGATGATTACAACATCTTACAAACCAGACAAGTAGTACGCGTGTTGTTTGTAATATCAAATGTGTAATTTGAAACCAGATACTTGTTTAAATATTAACGAACCACGCCTCTGTTTCGGTTATTATCCGGTCAAGAAACATTTCACTGCTCAGTGTGTATGCCAGTGGATTTCGTAAATATTTGTAACTTTTCACCCAGAAATGACATAAGTACCTACACAAAAATTGAATCTTTAAGTATAATGTGTACTGTAATGCCAGTTACCAGATTTGAATTTGATGTAATGCAGAACATGTTTCTACCTTGGTTTCCTAAAACTATTTTGATTTATTGTTTTGTTTATACAAATACCACATAGAGCTAAACACCGTGGCATCTTATGCAGTCGTAATACGTGCTATTTGCAACAAATTGTGTAGTCTGATGTGCTGTCGATTGTAAATAGGACTTGAGCTCGATTCAAAATAGACCATTGAAACCTTCGATCAACAATACCAACTAGATATCGGGTCAGCGCAAAAATGTTGTCTCGGGAATAAGTGCGCACTTGAGGAGTGAGTTAATGTATTGATTTGTAATTACATAATCTCTATTTTCGTCTGGCTTCAATTTAATTTAATATTTTATATTCTTTAAAATCATATGCCCAAATGGCTATGGTGTACATACACTCCGCTAACAGTGAGTTGGCGTTGATTAAATAAGAGCTTACTCGTGGCTTACTTCTCAAATGCGCTGTTATTTCGTACGGAACGTAGTTTTTGCGCTGACCCGATATCTAATTATTTGTATTGTTGATCGAAGATTGAGACCATTGAGAATATGAATATCTCAGCCTTAAGTTTAAATAGATCATACTGAAGTGTCATTTCATAAATGGGCCTACTAAACTATTGAGTTTTGAAGTCAAGTAGTGTGTATTTTAAAAATGTAACTTCTTATTTTAATTGTATAGAGCCTTACTCAGCTTGATATTTTAAACAAATTGTTTGCTTTACTATAAGAATTCTTGCCTTCTTTTATTATTTTGGTCGATTTATAAATTGACGAACGTTAATACAAAGATTACCTGCATTTTGATGTAAAGATAAGCTATTATGTTTTATAACGTAAGGTCGTGTAAAATCTAGCTCGCGGGTCACAAACAATTTTATTACTCTCGTTAACTGACCCACAAGCGTTAAACGTTTGTTACATAACTTGACGGCAACTTTTAAATGTCGCGTTAGAAGTATAAACTATGATTGAATCGTTAAGTACTGTGATAAGACCTTGTTTGCACCCTCGTAAATAAAACTTCAAATGTATAACCAGTAGTTTTATTACTTACCTAGAAGTCGTCCGTGAAATCAACGTCCATTACATCTTCTAAAACATCCTTATCAATTGTTGCAGTAGTTTCATTACTTATCTTTGAATCTACATTATCTGTATTAGATAATTCTCCAGCATTGTTAGGTATATCTGAATTAACATATTCTTTGTTTTGAATCAATTCATTCTCATCTAATCTTATATCACTATTGCGATCGGACATGGTTTCCGCATTATCTAATTTATTTTCAGTACCTGAATTGTTTTGTTCAGTATTTTTGATGGTATCACCAATAGAAGTATCTAATTTCTTATCAGAATTATTTATTGTATTGATGTGACTCAAGTCTTTGTCATTAACTTTATTGTCTTGATTTGTGTCAGTTAATTGATCTATTTTATCAACTTTATTGTTTACATCGGCCACCGACTGATTAACGATTGCATCATCTTCATCATCAGAACTATCAATAACATTCGATTTGTTACATTTTCGTGAAACCACTTCAGTATCTGCTTCCATACTGTTATCAGGCTCTGTTATAACTTCAGTATTATTCTTTTTATCAATTATGTTCTCTTCATCATTATCATTTATATCATCTTCCATTTCATCAACTTTACTGTGTACATCAACTGTTATAGATTGATTGACTGTTGAATCATCTTCATCGGAACTATCAATAACATTAGATCTATTATGTTTTCGTGTCACTACTTCATCAATAACTTCTATGCTGGGAATAGGGTCAGGCGTAGCTTTATGACTAGGATTTTCAGCTACGGAATTGTCATTTTTTAGTTTGGCAAGCCTCCTTTCTTCGGCTAAACGTCTGTTTCGTAACATACGTTCCCGTTGCTCGTCGCTGATGGAAGGAGATGAAGTTGCTTTCGGCATCATGAGTGACCTGTGGAGCCAGATACGTAAAGATTAGCTCTAGTGAATAGGTCTTAATTATGTTATTAAGTTAAGTGTTAGGCCGGCAATACACGGACCGCTTGAAGCAGTCAGGGTCGACAGCTTCAAGCTGTCGACCGCCCGAATCAGTTGCAACTGCTCGAGCGGTTCGTGTATGTGCGTTCATAGAACTGCAGTTCACTGTGCAGTCGACAGCTTGAAGCTGTCGACCCTGAGTGCTTCAAGCAGTCCGTGTATTGCCGCTCTTAGTATGCCTAGTACCATCACTTCAGGAAACCATATTTGCTGATGCTGAGAAGTGTTGGTCAAAACTCAGTCTCCTTTGTCAGCCTCTTATTTATTACAGGAAATACATTTATTTATTTAAACATTAATGCCAAAATAAATTTTTACACAAGGCGAACTTAATGAACTAAAGCATTCTCGACCAGTTTACCAAGATTATGTAAAAATTTCAAGCCTGTGGCTGGATTAATTCCAATGTTCTGATCAGTCACAGGATAGAAAGAATCTTGACTTAAATAGTAGATTAAGGGCTGATTTTTCAATTATCAAATAACTTTTAACTGGCGAATAAATTTGTCATTTTGACATATTTCCCATACTGAAACTGTCAATATGCCAAACTTATTCTTCAGTTAAAAGTTATCCAACGATTGAAAAATCAGCCCTAAGGGGCACAGTGTCAAGGCGAGAGTGAATACATCTCACTTGACACCAGGGGCGATTGCAGTCAAATGCCTGCCTTGTTATGCATAAAAATAAGGGTTCCTTGTCAGGACTACGGAACAGGGTTCGAAAATATCGGATATCTATATATATAAAAATGAAACCCGTTTCGCGTTGTCACGGCATCACGTGTGAACGGCTGAACCGATTTCGACAATTCTTTTTTTTAAATGTTTGTGGAAGTCCAAGGATGGTTCTTACAGAAAAAAATATTAAGAAAATCTCTACGCTAAGGCGGTACGAAGTTCGCCGGGTCAGCTAGTTTATGATATATATCAGATATATATCAACTTTGATATATATCAATTTTGTATGAAAACCAAACTATTATTTTATTGTATTATTCATGAATACTATTGCGTAAGTGTTACATAAACATGTTTTTAATGTTTTTATAACTTATAATCAGACAAATAAACCAAAAACATAAAATTTCTTTTAAATCCGGCAAAATCAACTAAAAAAATAAAAATGTTATGTCAAAAAGTACAAATACAGTAACAAATTTTAAAAGTTGATATATATCATTAAAACCGGCTTGATATATATCGGATATATATCCGATATATATCTTGATATATATCCCTTGATATATATCCTCGAACCCTGCTACGGAACCCTAAAAAGGATGCTTAGTAAGTCTGATAGCTTACCTATCCACACTGGGTGTTTGAGGCGCTTTGCGAGCCGAGGCAGGCGCGGGCGTGGCCCTCGCGATGTCTATCTGCTGCTGAAGCAGCTTGTCGAACTCGTCTTCCTCCTGTGGAGCCCCGGCCTCGTCGTCACTGGAGTCCCGCTGTGTGACCGGCTCCTCTGAGGTAATCTGATCCGACCTTATTTTGTGGAGGTGGACCTGGGAAATTAAACAAGGGAGATGAAAATATTATTTTTAATGTAATGACATGTAGAGAATAAGCCAATTCCAATTGGAATTTGGAAGCATACACCAATAAAAGTCAACACACATTGCTGCTACAGGTAGAGGGCATTATTTTTACTACAGTAGTGGTGCAGTTTGCCAAATCGCACTTGCCAAATGTTTGTCTCGAAGCGCTGGTAGGGCAAAAAAATAATGAGACATGTATAGGCTCCTTAAGAGCATTTGACGATTTGTAAATTAATTAGTTATTATTACTAATTTAATTAGTCTAAACAAATAAAAATATTTTTGATTTTGAGTGAAAACACCCTTAAACACCACTCCATTGCTAAGAACTAGGGTCTAAATTTATTAGGTGCCATAATTTATCCAGATACTACATTATTTTCATTAACAACAGGTAGTAAAGAACCATGGATTTCATTACCATAACAGCTTTTTTCTTGCCAAGAGTCTCAATCTTCTTCAAGCAGTCGTGGAATCCAAATTTGGGGTACAGTCTGTATGCCCAGTGCTCCAGTTTTTTGAGGACCATATCCAGGTCTTCTTTTTCATGTCCTTTGCCTAAAATTAAAAGTAGTAGAGTAATAATTTTACGATTAAATGTCAACGATTAATAAATAAAAAGTTTACCCTTGAATTTGAAGTCTTTAAAATGATCGGGTATGACTTGAATTCCCCTGGGGCCTGTCAGGCGAGCAGGATTTAAAATGAACCTAGGATTTTTCACAATACGCTTCGCTTTTGCTTGTGTTGGATCAACTCTTCTTTTATCTTCCTCTGTAAATAATGTTGATAAAGGTAAGTTCCTACTACTTATAAAAAAATATCGGTATATTCTCTATACCGATTAAATTTTTCACACACAGAATCTTACAGTTTAACAATTTGATATTCAAGTAAAGCCTTGTTTGCCTATTAAGTAAATCTAATTTTCTCTTGTTATAAGTTGCTGAGTAAATATTGTTTTTACTAAGGTACCCAAGGTAGGTAAGGTATTTTTTACTTCCTTCAAAGTAAGAGGTTATAAAGGTACAAAATCTATTACAATTTACTTAATTGCTAGTAACTGTCGAGTTTAAGCGAAATATTAAGATTATACGAACCAGCTTCATCTTCTTTTTCTTCACTATCATCGCTATTTGGAGACTGCGGCCTTTCATCATATTCGTCACCTTCGATCACTCGCTCTAACTCCTGTGCTTCACCAGCCTCGTCTTCAAGGAACACATCTTCTAGTAATGACATTTTAATTGTAATTACCTACATTTACATTAGTAGGAAGGAACGAATAAATTAAGCCTAGATCAAACAAATCGACAAAAAGCAAATATTTTCCACTTTTGTCTGACATTAATTTTAGCGCGAAAAATTTTATTTACACGTTCGGAAAATATTTGTATAAAAAATAATTGAAATCTAAAATTTTAATTTATGCGTCATTAAATTATTGAATTTCTAATTAAATAATAATAATATTAAATTACATAATTAAAAGATAGATTTAGTTCAAATTGTAATATATTTTTTGAGGTTAGTCTTTTATTTTTCGAACGTATTGGCTAAAATGTCTCTGAGCTAAAGCCATAACTTTATTTTAAAACTATAAGTTGTGTTTGTAAAAACCGATTTTAATATAAAAATACTGAGAAAAATACCGATTCATAAAATAACACAGAATCTGAAAAAAAAAACCAATAAAAAGTCTTCTTGGCAAACTTTTTATTGAGTTGAAACATCAGACATAAAATTGAATAATCAATTCAAACTTCACAGTTCTGTTATCTTTACGCTAAAATGCTAAGTAACGTTTATGTGGCTGATTAACCGTTTCTAAGAAATTTTTAAAAAACTTAAATAAAAAGTAACTAAAAAAATACGAAGATGGATGGATTGATACTTTTCTATGCAAAAACTACTATATGGATTTCAATTAACCATATAGTAGCGCAGTGAAAGTTAAAGAAATCACCTATACCTATTTATCACACTGGTAAAAAGAACAAAATACAATAGGTACATAACGAATTGGTAAACAGTAAACACAAGCCTCATAACCTCGCTCTTGCTAAATATCTAACAGCAAGCATTATTTTGTCTACACTAAGCAAGATATCAGCACGGCGAGCAACGGATCTACGATTGTTTTTTATCACCGGGGCAATTTTTTTTCTGTGGCGCCCATTTGTGATATAAAATATAAAAAAAAGTAAATGCGCTCAAAAAACTGGGCATTTCAAATCAAATTAATTAATGATAGAGTAACGTGCGCTTTGTACGAGGTTTCGATTAGCCCCCTTCTTTCCTCTTGGCGCTCTTATAAGACTGCCACCCGGGGCAGGAATATTTAAAAAAGCCTTCCCAAAGTCCCAACTTTAAAAAACATAATCCTCCTTCTGGCACAGTCGGATAAAAATATAGATTTTTAGTTAGTTATTTTTTAAAACCTGGGCCAGCAGGCTATAAAAATATTTAATAATATTTTATAACAACATTACTTATGTAATAATTAGTTAATTTATTGCCAAAAATTTTTGGCAATAAAACTGGCCATTCTTCAAACCGTAACAGTATGGCACATCACTAGATGGTCACGTGACCAGCTTGCGTTTGAGAGCGCATTCACAGGTATGGTAATCAGTAATTTTTACTAAAAATTCAATTATATTTCGGTTATTAGCGTAGAAATAAGGTAATAATCAAAGTTGAGTTCATAAAATGTGTTGATGTGCGCGTTAACGAGGTGTGAACTTGTGTCGTGCGCGGTTATTTCACCAACAAAGACTCATTTTGATACCAAGAATGGTGCTCAAAGAATGGCGTCCCCCACATGTGCCGCTGGCCTATACAATTTCGTCTTGGATGTGCTAAAATCTGATGACGTGAGCTGTTGAAATGGCGTAAAGAAGTGAACATGTCTCAATTTTTCATGTGTTCCGGTTGAAATCAGTGCGCTTCATCCACTTTCTGACAATGCCCTTGCGGTCCACTTACAATGATTCATTGTCCTGATTTCTTCGAAAACTGGCTAAAGATTTCCTGTATTTCGCCGACCTAGGCACGGAGAAGCCGCGATCGTCGTTTTAGTCTAATTTCAGTGTGTTTTGGTGGTAAAAACTTGTCTTATCAATCGAGATCCGCCCTAATGTTTTGTTTACCAAATTTACCGCTTTTTCGAATTTGCCTTGTTGAAGTATTATTGATGGTGCTATTCCTCTACGAGTTTCCTTGACCGAGAGAATTATTACTACCCACATTTATATGCATTGTTATATCCAGTGGGATATTTACCTGTCCTGGAGTAAGTAAATAGGAGTGATAATAACCTCACAAAAAGCAGATTTAAAGCTTTGATTCATCAGCATTTCTTAGTAGATAAAGTGCTGAGTTCCAGCTAGTTTTGATGAATATTGCATGAATACAGAGTTCAATGAACTTTATGCTCTTGATACTTTGGGAAACTATTGTTTGTTTATTGAAAAGTTTGATGTTGCAAAATTAAATTACCCTGCTAAGTCAGTAGCAAATATTTCAATTTTTCCTCAATGCATCATAGTTAAAATTAGATTAACTGCCCAAAATGCAAATTACAATGATCACAATGCAATCTCACACACAACATACTAATTAGGGTCTTTTCTTATGATAACTTTAAAGTTTGATATATTTTAAATTGGAACAAAACACTTTGATACTAAAGAAAACATCTGTGTATGAAAAAATTAACTATCCATTGTATTTCATACTAATCTTGTACTAAAACTACCTACAACTATATTGCATATTAATTTGTGTGTGTGTTACTGCCCACACAGATTTTTATTATTATTCAAATAAGATGTAATGTGGTTCTAATTCTGAAACTGATTATAATTATTTATAGTTTAATTTACATGAAATTCTAACTGGTTAATGAAAAGTAAGAATCCTTCACGATGAAGAAACTTTGATAAGTTAGATCAGAAAAAAAATACTAACAATTTTGTTTATAACACATATTTAACTCTAACTTGCTGTTGGCTAATAGTAGTAATATGATTGTACTTTTCTGATAGATTATTATATGAATAAAACAACAAAAATTGATTCTACCATGGATTAGTAGAATCCTAAATCTCTTGATATGAGAAAGACATTGTTGTATAATCTATTCTAGTTGAAAGGTATTCCTTGCAATTTGCAATATGAAACTTAATTTTAGCTGTCATATTTTCATGATAGAAATCTAAACTTCGACGAGCAAGAGGCTTCTTAGTAAAAAAAAAACTAATCTAATTAAAATAATTCAGCAGCTACGCATTCAAAATTTAGTAAACGGACAGATTATTATGGTGTTTATTAGATTATGTATCATTAACAGTCATAGTAGTCTACCTGATAGCTTCTGTTTTGGCAGATAGCGAAAACTAATAACAATTTTATTTATTAGTCATTTCCTTTTACAGTCACATTCATATACAAATTCAAATCACCTTAGTGGCAGACCATTAATTGGTGGATCCTCCCACATTGCATTTGTTTTTGGATAAACCAGAAAGGTCATAGAGGAAATATAAATAGCTGTTACCATGTCTTATGAAATGCACTTTCTATTCTTGATGACATTAACAAATCAAATTGTCTTGAATAATTAGCAAGAACAGGTTTTCGATAAATAAATATTATGTCATTACTTTTGACTAAGAGACAGCAGTTAATTTCAAGTAGGTAGCATGATGCAACTGTAAATTTTTATCAGTCTCGAATAAAATGTATGGAAAAGCATTAGTCACAGCAAAAACCAATTCATTTGTGTGATTATGCTCAATAATGAAATACCAGTGTTATTATTAGGTCTTATAACCATAATCTTTGTTAATGAGCTATGAGGTCATTGTCAGATACATTTCATCCGTACAAAATGTTATCTGCTTTGTTTTGTTGCTTATCAGGCTGCACATACAATAGACCGATTGACTGTGATAAAGATGTTAATTACATAAACATTGGGCTTTTTCCTTTGTCTTGCCATGCCAATAAAAGTTGCTTGGTGTTGCCATGCAGAATTAAAATAATTTCTTGAATTTTTAACTCAATATTTAATTTTATAAGAATTGACAGCAACTGCATAAGCTTTATTTTGTATTGTTATATTAGACGAAATATTTAGATTTCTATCCTCAAAATAAGCTGTGCTTATACTATAGATTTTATTCTTAACTGGGTATAACGCTCTTGCTAATCTTACTAATATTTGCACCTCGCGCGATTCGAACCTTCGGCTGTCAAAGAACTAAGAAGCACGCTACGCGTCCACTCGGCTGTTAGCCCAAAATTCAAGGGCAGTATATAACTTCTAGGTTAGAGTGTTATTAGGACGACTTTATGGTAATACCTGCCTTATGCTTTGACTATACAAAGTCAAAGAAATCTTCACAGACTAAACTCCCCTCGTATGCATAAACGCTAACCGTCGAGTGCACTTTGATTGCACAAGTGCTTTATCATTGGCCCTCTGTAGATCTAGATTGGCACAATAGGCTCGAACATGCGTTATGTATGTACAGAGCACATGACACTATACACTTTAGTTGCAAAATCGCCCCTATTACGCTCAAATAAGATGCCAGTATTTACCTTGATGCGCCTTCGTCATTAACCGTTTATCTGAAGTGACGACCGGCGACTGGTTTGAACTTGTAAACTTATATCTCTTGACGTGTGAGGTAATAAATTATACCCGTTAGTTATTTATTATTATTAGTGATATGTTTCTATGTTCAGTTTTTTCCCGCGCTTTATTTTGGTTTAAGTATTATAGGATTGAAAGAAAAAGCCATAACCATCCTATATGGCTCATTCGAATGTCGGCTTTAAGTGCCCTCCTGAGTATGAAACCTCCTATTTTAAATTTGCTTAGTCCTTCCTTCTCTATTATCCTCTTAGTCCTTGTACACTGACAATATCCAATACTAGTATCCAATATGAGAGTACATTCTGCAGTTCCGATATTTTTTTTTGCAATACCGGAACTGCTCATTGCTAGTAAGATAGTCTTTATTTTGCGATTCTACAGAAATATGTGGGCTTTCTTTGGATTGAATTGTACAATGAGAATTAAACATTCTAAGGCTCTACCAAGGTCGTTCTCGCTCAAGCATGACAGCTACTAAGGGTGATAAACCCAAAAACAATTACCTAAATTCTTTTTGTAGACTTCTTCTTTGAATGTATCGATCTGTCTTAAAAAACAAAATGCAACCGGCTGTTTGATATTTAAAACAAGTATGCCGATGACGTCACCGTGATTACGCTGCGCCAGCGCATTTGTGACGATAACGGACCTAGTATTACGTATCGGCTTACACGGTACCGATTGGATACGCC